ACTAGAAAATACAGTTCCGAGGTACTTGAACTTCTCCACCTGCTCCACTGCCTCTCCGTTAATCTGAAGAAAGCAAAGGGCAGGAGAACGAGAAAGCACTAGGCTTTTCGTTTTAGATGCGTTCACATGTATGCCGGTCACGTCGCACTCGGCTGTGAACCTTTCTAAGGAGCACTGAAGATCAGTTTCAGAAGATGCTAATAAAACACGGTCGTCTGCAAACAGACGACTAGTTACAGCAACCAAATAAAGTTGTAAATGAAACACTGATTAAAACAGTCATGATCGATCGATCGAATGCACAGGTCACAATTTTTACGGTAGAGAACTTTGCGAGCATTCCGGAATCGTAAACTTCGAGGGGTAACCAAACAGCTAGCTACGTAAGATGAACGCGTAGAGGCTAACTTTTTTGCTCGATGAGTGAACATGAATGGCAGCAGTGTTGTAACGGCTCCAGACCATGATAATCCGCATAGCATTCTTCGATCAGCCGCTATAGGATAACTGTGATAATTTTAATCACTATCAGCTTTCCGGTATTTTGGCATAACAATAATGGCTTTAGAAAGAGCACGTTCCACAGTATGAAAATAATTTCGGTCAAACTACAATGCTATTCATCTTAACTGAGATTAATGTTGCTCAGTGAGAGGGGGATGAATTAACTGCTCAGGCGGAAATGAGTTGCGCAGATCCGATCTACTTGTTTAGTATGTTATTATCTGAATGTCACAGAGGTAGCAGAACGACGCTTGATCTGAGTACAGCTGCGTAGGCTTCGACATATAATAAGAGTTAAATGGCAGGATTAGTTATGAAATGACGCTCTTCCCTTCTGGGTACAGGTGACTTCAATAAATGTGTTAATCACGAAAAAAAAGTTGGTCTTGACAGACCAATTGGTTCAGCATACATCATTTACTCCTCCAAGTAAGCTTCTCGTGTGGGAGCCAAAAAACGGCAGATGTCGACAAGGAGGTGCATGCAACATGGAGGAAAAACGTAGATATCGATCTGCTTGTAGACAGAAATATTTCCTTCTGCGAAGAAGTAAGCAACGGGTGCCTCACAGCAAACCTGTTGCAAAGTTGTGACTATACCTTCATTTTGGCAGGCCAATCGGTTTAAAAAGAACGAGTACCTCGCTTTCCAAGGAATGAATCGAGGATATCTCCACCAACGGCCCGTTGTAGTTATTGAGGTCAAGTTTTGCGGCAGCGCTAATGTTCAGCAGCTGTATGGCATGAAAGTCACGTCTGTTTCCGCCTTTCTCTTAAAATAACAAATCAGATCACTATAACAGGTACAAACTGTCCAAAGGGATGACAATGCACATTAATCATAAATCAATTACAAGAAGTCAGCCCTGCTAACGATTCTTCTAATATCTGTTCGAAATGCTTGCTTGCGGAAGAACTATTTAAGCTTCAAACTTCCTTGATGCATATCACCCTGATTTAGATGATATATTGCTAAAATTGACCAGCATTCTAATTTTACTTACGTAGCCTTGCAACAAACTTCTTTAATAACACCTATATATTCACTAGTAAACAGGCAAGTTAACCTCACTCAACATATTAGGCACATTTTTACTCCTTTGTCAATTTACATGGTAAAGGTAACCGTCGGAATGTCGGTTTCCCTTATACTTAAATGACTGGGTCATTTCCGGCACCCTTCTTTTCATGAAGTTAATAATCAGGCACTGATCTGTATTTTATGCCATATTTTATAGGCAGAACCGAGAGCAACTGTACAGCAAGCATCGTGAGTAGTCGTCTGCTGCTTTCTGAACGAGCGGCACTCATTATATCAATCTCAGAAGAAAGAGGGATGGGTGACCCTGGAATAGGGTTAGAGCTCAGTATCTCAGACCTGAACCCCGTGCTTTGTCGACTGAGCAATCCTGGTCCATTACTTACATAAATGCATTCCTACTAACATGCACACAGATATCTGCTTATTTACGAGAATACTTCAGAACTGATTTATTTAATGATCTGCAGGTTACCTGTATATATACTTACTAACAAATCTATGTACTTGCTTAGGCTTTTACACGCATGTCTGCATAATTAAATAATTAATCGTTTACTTAGCTACTTACTTACATCTACACTACGCATTTATTTATTTGCTTAAATATCTGCCTACTCCTCAACTGACGACCTTACAAGTTTGTCTATTCCTTTGAAAACTCACTTATCTACTTTGTACTTACCTACATAACAGATCGTTATTTTACAACCAACACGAGTTGATTCACAACAATACCATCGTAAAGCTTGCCTCAGAAAATTCATTATACCGAATTCTTCATCAACCTTTCACCGCTCACTTGCTTTACGCCACTTAGGGGACAATTTAAAAATGCCACGGCCTTATGACATTTGAGCATTTGTAGTGCAGGTAAACAATACAGCATCTCACAGTTCGACTGAACAGACGGGCGTTAGTGCCTTAACGCGAAATGTTCGTAGAACAAAATAAATTAGCAATTAATGGCATGAAAATTGTCGATGTTTGTAGTTAAGTTTCGATGTTGTCGATTCCTCCCCTATACCTGATAATCAAATTTTTCGATATGCTTTTCGGTCTTTCGATACGAATGCTCAGCAGAATGCAACCTAATTCTGAAACCGTAGCGTCAACGCAATAACTTATTTCTAAAGGATAAAAGGTCAAGATGATATATTTTGACACCACTGAGCTTAGTTGAACGAAACTTAGCATAAAGGTTTGCATGCAACGTGTCAGACATTACACTGGACAGCAAACAGTGGCAAACTGTAAAAAGTCCCACGAGTATGTCGTAACTGTGACATCCGATCAGTCAAGTCTATTCAAATTTTTGAACTTCTCTGAAAAATGCTAGAAAGAAAAAACATAAGACAGTTCGGAAAACCGAGCTCACCGAGGATCCGGCTGACGAACTGAGGCGACAAGACCGACTGGGCGTTATCGGATGACAGGAGCCGCAGGACGGACAATGCCCAGACAAAGTTCAACCATTGAGCATCACTCTGTACGCCGTCACGGTGGACTCTGTCGATCAACTCGCCGATCAGCGTGTAGCGAAAGTTGCAATGAGCCAGCGTGACCAGCAACGGACAGTAGTCGTTTGGCTGTAGGTCGGCATCGTGCTTGTGGTACCATTCACAGATTCGGTTAAGCAGCTCCTCATCGTCGAACCGTAGCATACCGATACAGAAGACGATCTGGTTCAGGAGATGGGAATCGGTAATGGCACACAGGTGCCGCTTGAGGTCGTTGCACAGCTTAGTCGACAAAGCCAGACTGCGGTAGTTCAATCTGACTAAGGATGACAGTAGGTCGGCGGCCTGCTTTGGCAGCAGTGTTTCAGGAGCATTGCCAATGCGCTCAGTGGCATACGTCAAAAGCGGCAGCATCCTCTGCTGCTTGAGAGACAGAGCCTGAACGAACTCCAGCAGTTCTTCGCTGTCCATCGCTTCTAGCAGAAACAGCATGCGTTTGTGCAGCAAGTTCTTCAGCTTTAGATCGGCGTCCAGTTTGGTCATCAGCAATAGCAGCAATTTGATTTCGACCACCTGGTCCAGTTGACTAGAAATGACTTCGATCAGCCGTTGCTGGCACTGTCGTCCGTCTGACGAAACGGTGGCATATCTGACATGGAAACAGGCGAACATGATCAACGACGCCAGTCCAAAGTGATGGAGACAAGCGACCAATCTGATCCTGAGTAAATTCACCAGGTTATCGTCGGCCGGTATGCCAAGGGTCAATAATGAACGCAGGGCCAGCATCACCTCACCGCTTTGAAGCGATAGATATTGTTCGTACAGGGTGGAGTAAGGCTTCTGAATCTGGTCGACCGTTACCGTACTACCCGGCTGAATGAATTTAGAAAGCGCAGACAGAAAGCTCACGACTTCAGAGACGGTGAACTCCGACGATCTGCAAACATCCCACAACTCAGTGTCGCTTTTCGCTTGGTATATCTTAATGTCGGTGGCCGTCCTGACCCAGTGAGGCAAAGTATTGTCGATTGTGACGTTCAGCGAGGTGCCAAGCATCATGTGACATCCGCGAGCTAGCAAAACACGTTGGCTCAGCCTGTAAGGCGTGGTCGGCCTTGCTGCCAGAATCAGACACAAAAGGTTGCCAGCTTTCGAACCGTTTATCGGAAACGTACGCAGCAATTTGTTCAACAAGAACATGGCAAAGCTTGTTTCGTTTACACCACTTAATGACGTCTTAAAAATAACCTACAGCATGACGATTAAAACATAGTAACCACGCGCAATGTAACAATAGTACCTCATCGGGTCATCATCGTGGCTCGGCAATAAAAATATCAAGCCCGCAAATACACCATACCAAATTAATCTGAAAACAAAAACGGTGTTGTTCAACATTAATAAATACAGCGAACAAGCGAATTGAATTAGTTCCCCGATTCACAGGTATTTTCTAAGGAAGTTTCAAAGCGACTGAAGCACTGGTTTTAAATTAAAGTTGACACAGTTTATCTTAATAGATTTTTTCATTTAATTATTTAATGTTTAGTCGGGATTCAGGGAGTGCAAACCGCTGTTAAATTCGGAGCCACCTCCGAAAGGATCATTCATTTCAAGGTGATAAGCCACCGTCGGTACGGTTTAAACACGAATACTCGTCCTCCGATTATATGGACGACGAGTTGCTTTTGGTTCACGAGTCGTAATTGTTGTTGCTGTATTTTGAACGTTTTGGGTATAATACCGAAGTTCATGCGAGTTCAAGAAATATAAATTTATTGGCATTCTAGTTATGTAACAGTGGAAGCCATGCTGGACTGATCTAATATTTCTTCATGCCGTAAGTCTTCATGTAAGTTACATGTAAGGCTTCATGTCTGTT